TAGAGCTGACATCTTAAGAAAAATAAAAGGAAAAAAAGCAACAACGCTACTGCATATCATAGCAAAAAACATCAAAGCAGACATTGTGAAAAGAGCACAGTAAAGAGAAGAATGAAAAGCTTTCATATACAAAACGTTACGCTGCCACATTAACTGCTAATCCATTTACAGTGGGTTGGGGGCGGGGGGGCTGACGCATTGGTTTAACTTCTTGTCTTTCTCTCAGGTAAGCTTCATCCCATACACTTTAGAATGGCAGTGGAACACACATTGACAGAACACTGACATGCACTTATAGCCAATGAAGAAAAACTGAGCAGTAAGAAAATATTTGGACTTGTGGGCACACACACCATGCACGGCAGCACTGGGTGTATACCCCATCTGAGAAAGCAGAGAACACACAAAGAGCACACATAAAGTGCAAAATCTTCAATAAACTTGACTTGTGTACAGAATATTAACAGAAAGAGTAACTGAAAATGATAAGACATGTTTGCCAATAAAGACGCTCCAGCATAGCAATCAGCTTACACTTGCACACACACATAGCAATTGTGTTCTTAGCAAAAGTATTATGTTTTTAAATACATTGTACATTTCAACTCTCACATGATTGGACTTCAGTTTCAAGCACCTTGAAGCTTGTGAGAGAGAAAAAAACAAACAAAAAAAAAAAAACTAGCCACCTCTTAAAAACAACAGAATCATGCATTTATAGTCAACGTAGAAACTACTTTTACTGATAAGCCTAGCTAGCATGTTGTTGTATCAAAGAGAGAAAAAGATCTACCGTTACCCTACTCTCTGTAAATAAAAACATGTATGTCTGTTTCAAAAAAATGAGAACCAGATTTTTCACCCCATAGTGATCTTTACTTTCCTCGCACCAATTGGCCTATCATTCAGGTCCATTACAGCAGCCATTGCTTCATCATGTGAATCGAATGCAACCATTGCTTCCCCTGTAGGCAGTCCTTTCTCACTGAACTGCAAGCACACCGAGCCAGGCAACACCTTGTATCCATAAAAGAAATCTAATATTTCATCAACCGTGACTGTAAAAGGCATATTTTGGATTTTGACAATGGTTGGCCTGGGAGTACCTGGACCACCACTTGATGATCCTCTGAGATTTTCAGAGGATGGCCCAAAAGCAGGTTGAGACCCTCCTGAACGCCCCTGGCTCCCACCACGGTTCTGACTTGTACTCTTCCTTGACGATCCATTATCGAAAGGTGACATGCCCCGTAAGCTCTCTGGTGCACCAACAAAGCCAGGAGGTGCACTGCTTCCAGTAGGCCGGAATACAGGGGGCTCTAATACAGGCCCTGGTAAATGCCCTCCAACCATAGGTGGAGGAACAGGAAGCGCAACGTCACCCAAAGTGGTGCCCAAAGGCGGTAGAGGCGGCGGACCTGCCAGTCCGTTACCTGGAGCAGCAAATGGGTTGACAAAAGGAGGGCCATTACCAAGGCTTCCTACAGCATTTCGAAGAAAATTGAACTCATCCCCAGTCATTCCAGGAAAAGCATGTGGTGCTTGGGCTTGGATCTGGGCTTGCGCTTGGGCTTGCGCTTGGGCCTGAGCTTGGGCCTGGGCCTGGGCATGTGCATGGGCAAGGGAATTTGCTTGTGCTTTCTGTCCTCTTTTGGTCTGTGGGGGAGGGTTTCTCTCAACCTCCTTCATCTGATCAAACGTGACCAAGTGGACGAAGGCATCCCTGCCATTTAACTTTTGCCTGTGTAATCGCTCAGCTTTTAGGGCATCCTCTTCAGATTTAAACTGCACCACAGCTTGGCCAAGGCCATTACCATTGCCGTCAACTAGTACTTTGAGGCTGTCCTCAAACAACTGAATTCCATCTAGGAACAGGCGAACGTCTTTCTTTGACACGTTATAGGGGATGTTTGTAATGTGAGCACAAGTTCTGGCACCCCTTCCTCCCTCAGATGAGCCACCTTTCTGATCACCCTGAGATCCCTGCAACCTTTTGCGGATTGCATCTATCTTTTCAAACATGTTTTTCTTTGAGATGGGATGCACCTGTATGAATCGACTACCCATGTACTGCATGTGACATCCAAGGGCAGCTTTGTAGTCCATTTCATTTCGGAACTCTACAAAACCCTCTCCAGTTGCCCTGCCATTAGGTCCATATGCAATATAAATACTGTCTTCAACAATGTCTAAGTTTTTGAAAAACTCAAATATCTGTTTGTTTTCTGCTTCATATGGAAGCCCTTTCAAATACACACAGAATTCCTGTTTGTGAGGTGAACGGGACCTAGCACGTTCTCGACCTGAAGGGGAACTTGAACTGGCACTCCCACGATGATGATGATGATGATGATGATGCCGATTATGTTCAGAGTCATTACCCAGTTTATCTTGTCCTGTGCTTAACCCCTGACTATCTCTCCACTGCCTCTCTGTAGCAGGAGATATTTCTACATACCTTTGGCCTATCAATCCATTGTTTCGTTTGAGAGACTCAAAGGAATCCTGGGGTGTAAAAAACTTAACCAAAGCCCTGCCATTGCTTCTGCCCAGGTTGTCTCTGAGTATTCTAACAGAGTCAACCCCTAATCCATGGAAAAAGTCTCTAATTTCAATTTCAGATGCACTGAAAGGAAGGCCTTGAAGCTGTACATACAACTCATCTGGGTTCCCCACTGCTGATTTCAAATGAGCCTGGAGACTGAGGGGATTTAGAGGGTTTAGTGGGTTCAGGAACATTGGATTTGGGTTTCCGAGAGACAGTGGTGGACCTGAGGCAGCAAGACCACCGGTCACAGGGCCAACTGGAGGAGGAACACCTGGATTAAAAGGAGGAATAGCAGAGATGTGTGGCATGTGTGTCATGGGAGGGACTGGAGGCACTGAGGTGAGAGGGTTAACAGCTGGTACCGGGGGCAAAGTGGACACTGGTGGTGGAACTGGCATGGGTGGCATGGGTGGTAAGGTTGGCATAGTGGGCAAGGGAGGTATGGGAGGAGGTACAGAACTTAAACTGGACATGGCAGTAGTCATAGTGGACCCCACACTAAGACTTGGGCTGCTGAAATTATTGAAGTTGGCAGGCATGTTGCCCATGGTTGTAGAGGCAAAAGCCGGGGCATTTTTGTTGTTTACAGGCTCGTTTGTCGAAACAGCTGTGGTGGCTGTGGTCGAAGTGGTATTACTAAAACCCTGTGCAGTGGTTGGCAAGCTACCCCTTCCACTTCCCCCAGTAGACGTAGGTGGCCCTGATCTGTTGCCATTTCCTGCAGCCCCTTCTGCACTACCAGTTTCAAAACGTCTACGGCTTAACTCAATCATGTTTTGCATCTCTGTTTTGCTGCTGAGCAACAGTGACACCTTGGAACCTTTGATCGACCCCCCTGTTCGCATCATTCCAAGTCTTGCATCTTCATCAGTGGCAAACACGATAAACGCTTCACCATGTTCACCCCCTACAATATGCACACCACCATCCGGGATGGTCAGTCCGGAGAAGAAATGGCGAATGTCCATGGTGCCCGCCACAATGGGGAGACCCTGCAAACGGATGACCACAGCCATGCTGAGGTGCTATAACACACACCTGTAGATGAAAGAAGGCAACGACCGTCAGGCTATGGCAAAAGAAAGGTTAACAGAAAAAGGTAAGACAGAAGCAAGACTAACCACAACAAAGCATTAGAATGAGAAGGATGGGTGTGATTGTACACAAAGAATCTGAGCATTCACAAAAGGACAACTGCAAAACAAATGTACCTGTCTCTTGATAAGCAAAGCCATTCACAAACAATCTTCAGTGTCAGAGCTTACATAATTACATAAAATGACTTGTTTCTGAAACCAAAACACAACAATCCTTCCACACACATAGCTTTTACAAACAATGATACTTGAAATAATGCTTGAAATAATACTTTCCATATATGATGAACACATACGTCACTTTTCTCTTCCTTGCAAGGAGCATTTAAATTTTGAAACTCACCTGAAAGCCACATGACAAACTTCAACCCAGTAACGCCCCCCTTTAAAATAATTTACTAAAACCAGATGAATAGCAAATATCTAAACAAAACACCAACAAACCAGAAGATAAATCCTCACACTACTGCACATTTTTAAGTTTTAAACAAAATTAATAAGGCATTTATTTTGGTCCGGCAAGGCAACATACCACAACACAACAAGAAATATCAGTCTTGTCCAAAATGGGTGCACAAAGCATATCTGAACCACCGTATCAAATTCAGTGGTGTAGTGAGCTGAACTTTATGCAAAGAAATCTGGTTCACACAATGCACTCCCAAACAGAATTGCTTACAATATTACTACCTACAAATTGCAATGCAAGTGCCCCTATTTATATCCAACTGTTATTCCCCCAAAAATCAACTTCCATCCCCAAACCCAATTTCACCCTTGCAGTGTATTTAAAGTAATCAAAGGATTAACATTTAACATGAACACAGAGTCTTATTTAGCACAGCTTAATTTCAAATGAATGTCACAGAGAATGCTTTTGTAAGACCAATATGTTACTAACAGAAGGGGAAGGGGGCCTTTACATGTGTTGCCATGATAAACCAATGCAAATGCCCCATTGCTGTATTAATGTAATAAATTTTTAAGCCCAATTGATTCAGCATAAACACAAGCCCAATCTGCTGCTCACAAATGCATTGCCCTAATTATCAATATGGTACATCTAGAAAATAGATTTTTTATAAGGCTTTCAAATGCTTCTATAACACCTCTAATTCAGTCAAAATATCTGTTATGTTACAGGGTGAACAAAACCCAATATCATGATCACCACACTGTTTTAGCAATATTGCAATATTGTGTTCGAATGAATAATAAACCCGTCAATTGTAGCACTGAACAGATGTTTGGCAAACTTAAAAAAGCTTACCAAGTAAACCATGTGCTGAAGTGTAAGAAAACAGGCAGTTTAGACTTTAGATTAATCCTAAACTAAAGGCTACGCAAATGCTTACCTGTGCAATTAGTGGCGCTTCGTTACTAGTTGTGGACGAAACCCAAGCCAATCTTGACGGCAAGCATTTAAAATCAACTCTCGACTGCAATAAAAGAATAAATGGAAGCAAAAACATCAATGCAAACAGCAAAGAAACCAGGAACGCCCAGTATGCATCTTGTACTATACCAGTCAGCACCAGCACTTTCCAGCTTTTAGAACAATGTGGTCAGATTCAGCAATCATTTGGATCACCAATCATTTCACACCAGATATTAAGATAGCTGCAAAAGCCAAAGCCTATTTTGAAACTGGTAAAAGCATGCATATGATGTATTTCATACTGAACCCAGCATAAACGGTCATGTATGACAGCAAATCAAACAATCTAACATTTTTTCCTATGATGCAGATAGCAAAACCAATGCTTGAGATGAAACAATCAATGAGTTCTCTCACAAACATCAATTTGCAGTCTCAATTTCTTAGATATCTATGCCAAAAAAAATTTGAGAGAGAACTATAATCAGAATGCTCATTGTTACATTTGTACATCTTTACAGCAGACCTGGGCACATAGCTGAATAAGGTACAACACATAAGTACTCAAAATATACCTACTTGGCTTAAACAGGCTGCTAAAAAGCGATAACAATATTCGTAGAAAAATTTTTCATATTAGCCATTTATTATTAATCATTTAGGCTTTCCCTAGGCAATCCCAGTTGTAAACCATATGCACTACTACAGGTGTACAGGTTACAACAACCAACAAGACCAGCTCATTCTCATCTCACCAAATCTGAAATACAGTAACAACTGAAAAAATACATAACAGAACAGCATATGATCACCACATAAATCTACACCAACAAAAAATAGCCAGTAATGATTCTATCACATATGGTATGAATTAGTGTAGCAAAAAGAACAGACGTTGAAACTTTTATTTTCCCAGAATCAAGGCTTTGGACCATGTCTCAGCAAAACAGACTTTTATTAACAGTTCTAATCAAAACACACACCAAAATCAAACCTTCTGACTTAATGGCTTAGTCTGTGACTGGTATAACATGCAGGTCACAGGGTAGAGTACGATACACAACACTAGTTAATAGCAAACAAAATATTTATCCATCAAGCAATACAGATAAGAAAAATGTAAAACTGCAGACCATCTTTTTAAAAACAAACCCAGTGGCCACAGAATGAAACCAGACCGAATTAAACACTACCAGAGGCGAGTGCAGTGTGTATGTGAGAAACAACTGAGGCGTCCAGAACAATAAGAGACAGAAAAAGAGCAGAACAGTCGGAGGATGAGAAGGGGGCAAAACAAACAGACATAAAACCAAAATTCAACCCAACAGCACTGGCAAACCTGGCGCACAGAACCGCTTCCAACAAGCAAACCTTCGTAAAATTAACCTGAGGGTGGAGCGGCCATTCAGATTCAGCCTAACAGTTAACGTTACCAACCAAGAGGACAAAATGGCGCAGAGTGGCATCAATGCATCTCAGCAAGGACTAAATCTAACTAACCACGATGCAAACACGCCCACAGATATGCGCTTAACACAAAGCAACGGAGTAAATACGTATCTCCCAAATCTGATAATCGCCAGTGGACCTATTTAAAGTCAAAATGTCCTCATCTTTAGCCTTTCTCTCTCTATCAGCGGACATGTTCAGATTCATTTCTGTCCCCAAATGGCGTCAATGAACAACTAACGTCACAGTTCAAAAACTCGGTGATCTGCTGCACTCTGCGTGTCCTTACCGATAATATCTGCCTTAACAGATCTTTGTTTTTTGGTTTTGTTTTACTAGCAAGCGCCGGGGCGTTCTGAGTCTCCTCTGTTTCGTCTTTCTTCTCCCACCGCCTGCAGTATCATTTCTGTGAGAAGACCGAATCAGCAATGGCGCCCTAGAAAAACACAGTACAGCCCAGTGGGAGTGCTACGCCCTCTGCCGGCTCCCCCAATAAAAACACCAGCGCGCAACTTAAAGCTTTTTGATCGGACGTACGGTTTTCGTACAATCGTTAAAAGACAATTTTCCCCAATAAGAATGAATAGGGTGCAAAAGTTGTGCACCCAGCTTGTATCAAGACGGTCCATTAGAAACACTGTATTAACCGTGTGGGGCACCATAGGAACGACATAGTACCCCCATCTATAGGGGGCTATACTTGTGATACCATAGCAACCACCTAGCAACAAACTGGAAATCCATGAAAAATGATCATCAAAACGCTTCAGGCGCCCTCTAACGGCTCTTTTAAAAATGATTAAATACTGAATGCTCTGTTCCAAATGACTGTCTATTAGACTGACAATGCACTATGGAAGGCAAGATTTCATGCCCTACATATTGCAGTATATTGGGGATTAAGAGTCAAATCTTGAATTGAGATTCAACCATCCTGGACATACTACAGTAGTAGAGTTTCGGGCGCCCTCTAACGGCTCCTTTAAAAATGATTCAATCCTTTCCAAAATGGAGAACACGATAGATCTTTCCTTTTAGCTTGATTTGAAAAGCACTACAAACTTCCCAGCACTCAGGCTTATTCAGTACAGACTCAGCTTAACATTACTGCACAACCTCTGATAAGATGATTTAGGCTATCAGAATATCCTAATTATTATTTTAATGCTGGTAACATTTTCTGAGGACATTTTCTCAGGGCATTCGCCAGCTTCTTGTTCGACTTTTCACGTTCCACCTTAAATGGAGCAGCAGTAACATTCTGAACTACTGCGCCATTTAAGGTGGACCGGGAAAATTCGAACAAGCATCGGGCGAAAAAGTTGCTGACTTCAGCTTCATGGAGGGTTAAAAGGCATGATATGAAGAGGTTGATCTATTTCCGCTTAACAGCTGAGTAACATTAACTTGTTGCTGTTTCACAGAACAGACGGGTCAGTACTGCTTTGTCCCATTTGCAAATGTTAGTGATAGCTAGTCACAACTACTGCATTTAAGGTGGAATGGGAAAATTCTAACAAGAAATTGGCAAAAACTAAGTTAAATTCAGCCTAGCAGTTTAAGCCTGGTAGTAATTTTAATAAGGAGTTTAGCCTATCAAAATATCCTACCTATAGGTTCTATTTACGGGTGTACCTGTAAATATGCGCTACGGTACAGCATTTTGATAAGGTAGTTAGCTTATCACAACCCCACCATAGCTCGTAGCTTAGTGACATCAAATTGATGCGCAGTAGCTTTAGCTCGCATGTTGCCATATTAGTATTAAGACTCTTTAAAGACCTCATAATTCCGAGGATCCAAGGAGCAGTATACACAGGACAAAACCTATCGGGTTCTGAACATTTTTATTTGACACAGGGTGCGACAGAAGCGATTCTTCGTAAACTTCATTCATTCTAGCCATAGAGTTCCTAATATGGGCATAAGGCGGACTACAGACAGACGCACGACTACAGCGGTCTGTTGCGTCATATTATGCAAATTAGCGATCGTGACGTAACCACCCGCCGTCCTGAACGTATTTATTTGCGAATTTGCATCAATACAAAAAGATGAGGGAAAAAAAACTGGAGAAAAAAAATATTTGAAATAATGAGAAGTAAACGTCGACAACACCGTCATACACACAAAGGTGTCTTTTTATTGATTTCTACTTTTAATGTGATTTATTCATTTATATGGGAGGAAACCGACGCAGACACGGGGAGAACATGCAAACTCCACATAGAAATGACCGTGGTCGCCCAGCCAAGAATCGAACCCAGGCCCTTCTTGTTGTGAGGGAACAGCGCTACCCACTGCGCCAGCGTGCCGGGTGCTTTGGTTTCTTCCCATAGTCCAAAGACATGCAGTCAGGCTGATTGGATATGCTAAATTGCCCTTTGGTGTGAATGTGTGTGTGAACGTATATGTCTGTCTGTCTGCCCTGCGATGGACTGGCGACCTGTCCAGGGTGTATCCTGCCTTCTGCCCAATGACAGCTGCTCCAGCACCCCACCGCGACCCAGAAGGATAAGCGGTTTAGATGATGTGTGTGTGTGTGTGTGTGTGTGTGTGTGTGTATGTGTGTGTATGTGTATGTATGTATTCATTTATAAATGAGAGAGAAATTTTAAAAAGTCATCTTAAATGTGGTAAGATGCAATACAGGCACAGTTTTAGCTGGACTGGGATAGGATTTTATACGGCCTTCGTTCACTTGTAAATAAAGAGGGGAAAGTTTTATATTACTACATTTCCACTTTTTAATTTGCTAGAAAATAAGCCATATTCTTTTAACTTAGCTGAGTTGTTGTGGGTCTCCTGCCGAATGTTCAGGTTAGCTGTGTGAGAAGCTGCCTCAACTAGTCACACCAGCCAAAACGGCTTCTGTGTGCTGCACAGTTAGTGTAACAACATCATATAAACTCTATCCTTAACAAAAAATTAACAATATAAAGAATTAGAAATAAATAAAAGCTAAGATATTTACACTGCAAGGATATCTTGCCCGAAATTCACATGGAGTATTGCACATGAGGTACTGATTTATATTACACATTGGATGGTGAGGAGTTAACAATATGAACATTATAATAGAAAAGCAAAAAATCTTAATACTATGGAGATATTTTAAAAAATATTACACTATAAGAGATATTTTAAAAATATTGCACATGGAATGTTGATTATATCACACACAGGAGATGGTGATGAATTCACAGTTTATGTTCTGTAGGTGTGTGAGTTTTAATGGGGGGTGGAGGAGGGTTCTACTGGGAGCAGAGCTGGTTGTACAGTCTAACAGCAGCAGGAAGGAAGCACCTATGATAGCGCTCCTTCACACATTTGGGGTGAAGCACCCTGTCATTGAAGGAGCTGCCCAGTGCTGCCAGAGTCTCATGCATGGGGTGGGAGCTGTTCTCCAGCATGGATGCTAGTCTGGCTAACATCCTCCTGTGTCCCACCGCCTGCACTGGGTCCTAGGGGGCTACCCAGGACAGAGCTGGTCCTCTTAATGAGTCTGTCAAGTCTCTTCCTGTCCACAGTTGAGATGCTCCTGCCCCAGCAGACCATGATAATTGCTGAGTCATCAGAGAACTTCAGAGAACTTGTGAACTAATAGTGTTAAATTGTGGTGTGTCTGTGTTTTTGGACTTTTTTGCTGCAGTTTTCAGTGTGAGAGTTGTTTGACCACAGACTGATGGATGACAGCAGGTTTTCAGCGGAGAACCCGACCCCCAATTCCAGAGTGTAAAACAATGTTTTAATGTTCTTAATCAATATCAAGAGCTTTTATAATTCTGCATTAATATGAAAAGTTTACACTTCTGCTTTAATATGATCAATTAATTTATTTCAGCATCAGTGTGAAAAATCTTTATATTTTTGCATGAATAATGGTGCAAATGTAAATAATATTTGAGTTGATGAAAAGTAACAGTTGCTCTTTTGTGTTTGTTGTTTGTGTGCAGGAGGAGAGATGTGCAGTTTCACTCCTTCATTTCCTCCATCACTCAGCACTCTTTATTTAATGCGTTCATTGTGATAATTGTCATCATCAACGCTTTTGTCATCGCCCTGGAGGAAGAGTACAGTAACTCAGGACTGTTCCGGGTGAGAAAAAGAGATACAGAGAGTGAGAGGAGGAGAGAGACAGACTGAGAGAGAGTTTATCAGAGACTCGTCTGAGGTGTGATTATTGTAGTTATTCTGTCCTGCAGGTGGCTGAGGGTTTTTTCTGCTCCTCTAGGTGTTGGAGTTCTGTATGAAGGTCTACGTGGAGCACCGTGGTTTTTGGAGAAGTGGCTTTAATATCTTTAGCTCTGCGTTGCTGCTGCTGTCTCTGGTGGCAGTGTTTCATTCTTCTCCTTGCAGAACTGAGTTTCATTCTTCTCCTTGCAGAACTTCAGACCTTTCTGCACCCTCCGGGTCCTAAAGACCATCATCTTCTTCACCTCAGTTCAGGTAAGGTGTTAATTAAGTGTAATTTCCTTAAATAGACTATTAGGTCATTTATCCTGTAGCCCATTGATATCCAGTACGTACGTTAACAGTGATAATAATTAGAATGATTAGTGTTTGTAATTGTTTTCATATTGTTCTAAAATGATCTACTCCACTCAGATGGTTCTAGAATGTTTCATATTTTCTAGAATGAAACCTCTCCTCCTTCCAATCTAAACGCCCTATAATTTTCCCTCCCTACTTTCTTTTTCCTGCAACGAAGTTTGTGCAATAAGTTTAGGAGTGACCTACAGTCAGCTCTTCTTCATCATCTTTATACTGATAGGCCACTTCATTTTCTTCAACATGTTCGTTGGTTTAGTCATCATGGAGGTTGAGGTAAATCTATCTTTACTTTTACGTTTATGCATTTGGCAGATGCTCTTATGAAGAGCTAGAGTTTAATCATGTTAGGAAATATGAATTTGAAAAAAATCCCAAGATCTGGACCTTGGTGTCCATATAGCCACCAATGGTGATGTTATTTTTTGAGTAAGTAAGTAAGTAAGCAAAAATCTTATTTTAGATAAAATTCCAGTGGCTGTCTCTACAGACAGTTACAATGGCTGTATTCCTTAAAAAATCATAAAAAGGCTTAGAAAGAGTATTAAACCTTTTTTTTTTTAATGGTTCTGTGTTATGCCATTCATGTCTGGAAACTAAAAGTAAAACTACACAATTAAAACAAAAAAACCTAAACCATGTCACCCACCACCTGCACACACACCTCACCTCATCCCAGCCAGCTTAAATCTGACTATAGCAAAAGTATAAAAGTTGGCATCTCTGTCACTGCTTGAATAAAGACAACAGATTTTGGCGAGGGTAGGGGCTAAGGGGTTTCAAAAGGGCTTTTTGTGGGGGCACT